ATGCTCACGGAATATAGAGTACATGTGTACCCCATAAACATTAAAATCACCATGATTACCAAAAATCACCCCAAATGGCATCTATTGTGTTGGTTACTCTGTTAAATCATTCAATTTACAAATATTCAATAAACAATAGAATATTACCCCAAAAAATGAATCCTCTTTGCTTTGCTTGTAGCATGCATGCATGTCAACTCTGATAACATAAAAGTATATAAATAAAGCTGTAGATTCTACTATGAAGGCAAGCATCTCAACACCTCCATTTAGAATAGACGTGTACATAAGGTTACAATACAAGATTTCAGTGGTACATACAGCAGTTACTTTTAAAATAAGTCTTGTAAAGAGGATACTAATACTTGCTTCAGTAATGCGTAAACTGATAAACACTCCACAGTAACAGACTTGATACCATTTTATTAGTAGTAATAAATTCATGGAAGCCACATCCACATTTTTTGTTCCACTGAGCGACATTTGTAGCAAATATTGTACATTGCCTCTGTATTTTACAATACAAGTTGTGTATCAAACAATTATACTTTGTTTACTCTTGCATTGTGAAAATTTCATTATGGTTGCAGTAGGCGATAGGAAATATGCGAAACTGCAGCATGGGTTGGTTACACTGGAACCATGTAAAATATTCTCAATTCATTGATAATTTTAAATGCTGCACACTCAAATCACTCTCCAGATAATTAGAGTCGATGCAAATCTACTTACAAGTTGTGCCCAATCGGCTAGCCAACATGCAGACCAATCTGGGCAAATTGTTGACAGCTTTGTTCTCCACATCAAATTCTGTCTTTTATGAATAATTGGCAATGCTTATGTTCATGGTCTCATTTAAATTTACACTAGTTTAATTACAATCACTGATGCTAGAGTTTATTGTAGGCTTGGGGAGAGGATGTGAATAAATTCATTAACCATTGTTGAACATAACAAATAGAATTGTTAGATACATTCAACTTTCTATGTTCTGTAGAAAACTTCCCACTGAACCCTGCAAGCATCCAGAGAGAGAGCTTTGGTTCTTCAGTCCATAAGTTTGACTTGTTAATTAAAGAAACTAAGACCTTGTTTGTGTCAAGTGCAAGCTCACCTCAGTGCTTCAATGTATCTGGATTTTATTATTTCTTGTGACAGTAATCATTGGTAGGCGTTCTGCTTCTAATTCAAAGTGAGAATGCAACTTCAGTAAGCTACTCTAATGACTGGAGGTGTACCATGAAACCAGAGAATAGTGTAACTGAACACATTACATCATTGCACAGAATGTCTTTTCAGACATTTGTCAGTTACATATTTTGAACTTCATAGTGTCTATGATACAGTTGTACCATGTTGCACAAACCAGACAGCAGTTTTTCCTTGTTCTCTGGTACCATGCTACCAACAGTACAAACAACAATTAGATGTGGAGTTGCTTTCAACACAATGAATATAGCACACAATCACCAGTTACCATATAGAGTACATAGCCATCACTCTTCCAGCTTTGCATCTTGTCAAAATATTAAAAATAGCATGCACATACAGCAGGAGTCAAATTGTGTAAGATATTTGTGTACAGACTGCATTTACAGCCCTTATAATATAGATCCAAGACATCTTAATTGCTTGTATTACTCCAGCATATACACATTCTACTGCCAGAAAAAAATCCAACTAACTTTACACCTAATAGAATTATAATAGCAATATGAATGTATTGACTACTGTTGCACAGTATCATTTCTCTTTACAATATAATTGACAAGCATAAAATGTGTATAATAGAGCAAATTAGGAAAAAAAACATTGTTTGGATTACATGCACGTTTTAAATTATAAATATGTATATGCAATTTGGTATCCCCCTTAAAATGTGGATAAACTGTTAAGAGTATGAGGAACTAGATTATGGCAACATTTTCTAAATGGAGATTGATAGAAACAATTCAAAACTCTGTGTCTACATATATTCCTTAACATAAAAATTATCATAAATTATCAAATTTTTGTCAGAGATGAGAAAATCACTTTGATCACACACACATGCATTTTTGTTTATCATTGTACAACACTGTGGCTGCCAACAAATGTGTAACATATGTGTGTTTCACAGAAAAACAAATATCTCCAATAAAATTCATGGAAGATTACATAAAAGAAAAGCAAAGCAGCTCAACAGCAATGGTGTCAAACTCTTACTTGCAGTAAATCCAAACACTGATAAAAAGAACAAGCTCATTATCTCCCACATAGATTCTCTATTTACAATTCCCACTTCCAACACCCACAGTATTTTTTTTTCAATAATTTCAAGTATTTTTTAAATATAACCATAGATAAGAGTCTGATGTTTACACATGGAATGAGAGTGCAGTTGTAACATTATATTCAAGCTTCCCATACTATACATACATGTTTGTGTCACCCACTATACAAAATGTTTTCCACAGAAACATGTTTGTTTTATCGTGTCCCTAGTCCATTAAAAATGACATTGAGTCATCATTTGATGAAGGAAGCAATAACAGCCCACATGACTTCATGCGCTCCACTTTTCATAGCTTCTATTTCAGGATCCAGATCCAATAATTCACGAACACGTTTCATAGCAATCTGAGAAATAAAGAGTAAACTCAGTTAGATCACTCATGGTTTTATGACTGATTATTTATTCCAGTAAATCATGTTTGTTTGTAGATTGTAAACGCCACACTGGTTAAAAAGGAACTGTAAAATACCCCCACTGGTATTCATATTTTGCTATACAAGTCACTACATGTAAAGTAACAACATTTTGTAGTTCAACAAAGTTTCAAGGTTTTAGAAAAGATGGCAAAGGATGTGGTTCTTGTATATAATCCACATACACTCATGATTAGTGCTATCGTAGCAGCTGTGGCTTGGATCGATACAAAGTCTCTAATCACTCATGTCTGTGGATGTCAACCGAAGCGAACATATTGTGGGATTATACATTTATCACATGCACATTTCACAATAGAAATATTAGATTTGTGGGAAGTATATCTATCAGCTTCCATTTGAATGTGTGTTTTAATTTGTTGCTAACATTTTTCAATAATGTTCCAATGACAGAAGATACACAAAGCTTCACCTCTGTCTGAAAATCACTGTGGGTTGAGCAATTCAAAGCCAGGCAGAAATCAAGACAAATATATTGCCCACCATAATGTTTGATAAATAACAGCCCATGTTTATTTTCTCTGGAAGTTAAGGTGATTTGATAGAACCACTTATTAAATTACTGTAAAACGACTAATTTTCACTGGGTTAAAATTTCGCTGATTTACCATTTCAGGCATATTCAGTGTGTTTTAAATTTACGGTTTTATCATTTAGATAATGTGTTCTATGCTAAATTTTACATATTCACTGGGTTTTAAGTTAGCGCATTTTTCGGGACAGCGAAATAAGCAAAATTAAAACCCAGTGAATAATTAACCCTTTTACAGTACTGCAAATACATTCATATAAATGAATATGGTCCACTTTGTGATTGCATGTATAAACAAATTTCAGTTACTACATTACTGAGAGTATGCAGAAAGTAAATCAACATCAGAAATTAACCAACTTCAAACTAGTTAGTCAATTACCTCATAATCATCATCTGTAAGTGGTGCAAATGCATTTTCAAGTACGTCTGATGCATGTGCAAGATATATAAGTGCCAGCATTCTTTTATCCATCCTGTGTGCATCATTCGTCCACCGACTCAACACAGCATCTTGTACACGCTTGATTAGACGTTGTTTTATTGCTGAATCAACAACAGGATGTGTGGTCATGTCAAATAGCAAGAAGTTTTGCTTCTCTGTGGTCAGGACACCTTTCTCCACCAGATTCTTAGCTAGACGTTCACGAACATTTCGTAGTTGGTAGCGCAGTTTTAATGGGTTCCATGTCTCACCTGTTACCAGATAATAATAACAATGTTATTGAATGAGTATTGAAAACCTCCCAATGTAAACCTGATAAATCAAAAGGGAAATAACATCTTAATTATGTACAAGATGCAAATGTATCTAGATTGGGACCGACAATTTAATTACTGGGACAGATGTGTTTAATTTGAACAATTGGACATCACTACATGTATTCCAATATAAACTGAAACATGTATAGAATAGACATGTATTGTACATTACAGAAAACAAACAATACACTACAATGTCTATCAAGATGAAACTTAAACAAGCTTATACAAGTTTGAACATGTTTTCACCAGAAAAAATACCAAAAAAAACAACATTTTAGCTATATACCTACCTTACCTTGATATTATGAGGGTAAATGAAATGCATACATTAAATTTTAGGGTCAGAGGTCAACAAAGTTTTGTCCATGTAATACTAGTAACCTCTTGAAGGTACAGCACTGGCATCTATCCATGAAACTACCATAAATTACCAACATTTTTAGTCACAAAGGCAACGATGCAAATTTTGTTTCAGGAACACCAGGTTAAGTAGAAATTTCCTAGTAATGAGACCTAGAGAACCATAATTGTTATATATTAAATGAGCTATGTTGGACTACCTAATTTCTGTTATAACAAATTAATTTTTCTCAAGCAATTCAACCACATGCAACTGCTATCAAACCAATTTGATCAGTCTCCTTGAAATCTTTTTTTATTATTATTTATTTTTCATGCAATAATGCTTTAACAATGGAAACAGTTCCACAGTTTTTCTCCAACAAAATATTCCACACTGGGTAAGAAAGCCCAAAAGTTGTGTCTAAACAATTATGTCACACTTTTGAAAGAATTCTTTGATATTTTTTTTTACTCCTATTAAATAGGATGAATGCCCCCAAATAAGGTATAAGAGTTTAACCATTTGCAATAAATTGTACTCCCAGCCGAACCAATATAAGGATATTGACTTCTAAAATGTTTTTTGGGTTACCTGACAGGTGTATTTAAGTGAATGGTCAATTTGTCAGTATCACAATTATAACACTTATTATTGGTTTCTATGCAGAAGAGATGCTTTGAATAGGTTTCTACCTTAATGCAAACAAAAAATATCATTTCCTTATAACAATTCGGCCACTTTCAAAATTAATTATTTGTTCATGGTCTAATTAATAGAAAGAATAGGGTAGACTGACTGCTGAATGATTGTCACCAGTACAAAACTACACGTCATAGCTGGTGTTAGCAATCACTTTGTGAGAACAAAGTAGCACATCAAAACTTAATCCCACGTTTTCATGATAACTATTGCCATGTGTGGCTAACAGCAATGGGTTTAATCCTTCAGTACATAACTAGCAAGGATAGCCAATGCAAGCATGTGGAATTATCGACAGGTGTATCAGGTAAAACATCATTATAGGAGTTAACTGGGTATGGAAAAGTGATTGTCACTGAAGCATGTCAAGCAGGGCTGGCAGGCAGGCAAGCAGGTTGGGTCTGACCAACATCTTTAGTTGAACATAGGACTGCAGTGTACACACATCAATAACAACGGGATTGCTAACAATGTCTAGATCTGATGGAGACTACACTCCACTCTTCACACAAGGTGCTAGTCGCCATTCTCACATGGCAGAATTCATGCAACCATTTGATGAGATTGCTCTATATCCCAGATGGAAGAAGGTATGGAGTTTCTTACTTATTTGTATTTGTATATAATTTTTTATAATCAATGTCCTTGTATAACCAAAAATAAATTGTCATTGCTAAAAGTATTCTCACTTTAGAAATTATCAAATAATAATCTCTTTCAATTCGATACAGATGTGCTCCATTTAGCATCAATACAAGTGGTTTGAAGCTTACTATTTGTATGCAATAACTGACAAAATTAGAAATGAGATTTGTATACCAAATATTGCATCATATATGTGTTTACAGTTGAACTGTAACCATGGAAATAAATCACTCAAACATGACAAAGTCCATTAGTAAAGCTATTAGATGGTCCACAAACCAAAAGAGCACTCAACTTCACAATACGGAAGTGATTCGTCAAGCTCACTGATTCCATTATCAATATGTTTTTCCATTTAGCAAACCATAGATACACAGGTGCACTGAAACACACAGTATTGAATAACAGTTTCAAATATAGCTAATTCATGTTAAGCAAATCAGTACTTAAAAGAAGTCTATTTTTGTTATTATTCATCACTTAAATGTTTGTTTTTTTTCATGAAAAACCATTATGCCTTAAGTACTTAAGAGTCATTTAAGGTAGCGAGAGGGGAAAGATAATTTATAGTTTAATGGAGTTTAGGACTTTCCTCACCAGTTACTAAGAATGCAGTTATGGCAATGTATATGTTTTCAGAAAGCTGAGATATAGCAGAATACGATCATATGTGTTTCGTCTTGATATTTGCTCAGGGGATTAAGTTACGATCGTTCTCGTTAACCTCCTAAACAGAGTTTTTTTGTGGGATTGGTCGTTTCTCGGTGTTCTTTTTTTCTATGTTTCTGATCTTTTCACTGTTGCTTTATAAGATAATGATCTTTGAGAATGCGTCTCGAAATTGTTATGTGCCCCATAGTTCTGGAGATAAAGCCTGTTGAACTTTATGGACTGAATTTCACGAACGTCTCCATGTTCTCATGGCCGTAACTCAACGGCAACGGCTCACATAAACGTCCATGAGACATATTTTAGCCCATTTTGTGGCGAATAGATTGTGTAATTTGTACATCGTTAGCGTAAAGATAAGTGTTAAAAATATGACATCTTCAATAGTTATGATAGTCAAAAAATTGTTTCCGTAAAAACTCAATAAAACGTTTCTTTGAATTTTGCCATGGATAAACAGCTAATTTATTACCAAATGTTTGCCGTTTTGATCATACTTTATAAATAGACAAGTATATGATAGGCATGGACTGTTATATCATGAAAAAATTGCTGATTATTTCTTAAAAAGTGACAAAACTTAGCAGTTTCATCGAAAGTGTGTGCTAACTTGAGCAAGATGGCGTACCGCGCAGTTAATTTATTCAAGTCCCTTTGTTATGTTGAACAGCGTCAACAGTGCAATCGGTTATCTAAACATAGGGCGGGCCATCGTGACAGCATATATATATTGACTTACGGGATATACATGCCTTCAAGTACAGATATGTTTGCATTACTCTCTGCATTTGGAGAGTGTACCGTTATCGGATTTGTTATAATCAATTAGCAGCACCAATTGTCTTTTCTTGTCCACTCTTTTTCGATGCCAGAAAAATATCAGTCACGGAGTTGCATTTTTGATTCGTGCATTTATAGTAGAGATGACTCCCCCAGCCATGGCGGATGTTCGTTTTTTCTGCCAAAACGACATTCCCCTTTTTACAATGACAGCACATCAATATTTCACAGCCGATTTTATTTACAGACTGTAAATCTACCACGATGAGTGAACCAGCGTCTGTACCCAGGATTTCCATCTCTTCGGCGTCGCCTTCTTCGTCGTCTGAACTGTCAGTGTCATAATCACTCAAGACAATTTTTTGCGCCGAACTTTTGTGGACACTCATCTTCTTCAAACCACTCTGCGGGCTGGCTATAATACGAACCCAGGTCACTTTCATTTAGATACCATTTAGACGGCGTCAGACATTTTTCGGCGGCCAGTTTTTTTCGTCTTAGAACTTCTTCCCATGATATATTATGTTGAAAAGCTTGGAATACTATAGCGTAATGTTTGTCTGTGCTTCGATCGCGATCGCGTAACGAACACTACTTATAGATTACACAGGATATAATAAAGCCGGATGTGTTTAGCCACAACTAGATTTTTTAGAATAAACTGAAATTACGCACCAAATGCATCGCGCACAGTAAATTTGGACAAAAGATAAAGAAAGTACACAATATAATGTTTCATAGTCTGAAATTTTTTGAAAAATGTTTTTTTTTCTGTTTTTTCCCCTCTCGCTACCTTAAAAAACAATAGAAAATTCTAAACTTTGGATGTCACTCAGAGAGGACAACCAAAAATCAATAGAATGTAAATATCTTCCAGTACGAGATTCCAACCTTCATCTCAGAGTGCAACTTTATGGAATAATTTTGATCCAAATTATTCACTATAAGAATCTAATAAAACAAATTTTTAATCCAGTTGAGTACAGCTGTGAATGCATGCCTTAGCACGGAAACCTACATGGTCATAGTGACATAAAAATGGCAGTCAGTCAGTCATATTGAAAAGCATCAAAGGGAAAAAATAAGGTACACCTGCAACTCAATATGTATTCTCCTTCCAAGTCATCACAAAAACACATTCTGGTAATTACATAGAAGACATAACCATTTGAACCAATTGCTTCAATGTGTGATTTAGGCCAATTGTATGACATATTTGATCAGATCAAAAATTAAATTACATGAATATGCATGACATCATATACTGGTAATGTCTTTGAACCAAGTTTGACAGAAATTAGTTGACGCATGTCTGAGAAATGGCCATGAACAGATACATGCACGAATGACTCAATAGTCCATGAGTTTTAACATGCAGGCTCATTACTGTCAAAGATATGTAGTGTTGAACTATAACCAATGGACAGACACTACTTACCACTAAGTAGTTCAATCCATGTTTGTACAGTTTCTGGTACATCAGTCTCCTTTATATGTTTCAGGGATTCATCTAGGAGTACATCCCCTGTTGGACTGTCAGATTTGCATAACAACTTTCTGTTTAATAAACTTTTCCGTCTCATGCCAGCTTTTTCTGTTTCTACTCTTCCTTTGAAGCCTAATTCAACAATCATGCACCCTCTTAGTCCTGATGAGATGCAATCATTCCAAAATGATGTATATCCCTATAATAAACAAAACAATACTACATTATTATCTACTGAATTATTTACATATAAAGCTGTTGCTCAACAACAAGGACACAGCGAAGTAACATCTATCATATTTTCAAAACGTACTTGTCAACTATCGGAGGTAAAAATGCATATTCACATATTTGTTAAAAAGGCAACATTGATCAAACATTACAAACTTGTATACTCAAACAGTGACTCAGCAACTCACATTGCTCAATGTTCATTCTGTTACATTCAATGTACACTGTATTTAGTGCACTGATATGCAAATATACAGAACAGCCACAATGTATGATTGTAAAAATTAGTTTTTCACAAAAAGGCGTGCTCTTTGCTTAAGGGTACACATAAAACCCTCTACCCATGTGATTCAGTAAAATGAAATTTTAAGATCATTGATAATCCATGATCAATGGCCATCAACTGGTCGCCTTTCGTGTGCATGTAAAAACAAAAAAACCACAGATACCTAAAACATTGAATTTAATATAGAGTGATGGAATATTTATAAAATAATGCCTCAAACTAGAAGCAGAGAATAAATGTTGTCACAGCTGATTATGAATAAGCAACTACATTAGACAAAATCAGGCTTAATTCCATCCACAAGCTGATACACATTGCAGTGCTTTGTGCAATTAGAAATGTGTGAACCATTCATAGAATTAGTAATTAACTCATGTAACTCTTCACCCGTACATTGGATTTATTTTTTACTTCAAGACCAATAGTCCTAGCTTCCTCAAACACCAGTCACCATGGTCAACTATATTTATTTATTGTATTGTAACCCAGATCATCAGTCATGGGATTCAGCCTTCACCAGTCACAATGGTGAATTAGATTTATTTATTGTATTGTAACCCAGATCATCAGTCATGGGATTCAGCCTTCACCAGTCACAATGGTGAATTAGACTTGGCTACAATAAATTGTGTCATTTTTGACACTGTTGAGCTGAACTACAAGGACAAAATTTATTCTGAGAAAATGATCATCATTAATGTTTAAAAAGTTTTGTGTTGAGTAGCACATTTTAATTTGCTACATGAATCTAAAAAATATTTTGTTACTTTCTTGTTGTTTGCTATTAAAACAAAGTCTGTCCAGTCTGTGCAAAACATGTTTTTATAATATGTAGCCTTCTAGGAAATGCTAAAAGTCTGATATAATACAAGCCAATATCTCTAAATATGTTCTCTGATTAGAATGTATACTGGTGATTTTACAGGGATCAAACCACCAACATGTAACAATAATTTTATTACATTGTATATTCTCCATGTGTTGGAAAAAGATTACAGAAGTACTATAAAATGACTAATTTTCACTGGGTTTAAATTTCATTGATATACCATTTCAGGCATATTTAGTGAGTTTTAAATTCACAATATTATCCTTTAGATAATGTGTCCTATGCCAAATTTTACATATTCACTGGGTTTTAATTCAGCGCATTTTCCAGTAAGCGAAATAAGCAAAATTAAAACCCAGTGAATAATTAACAGCATAACAGTATTTGAGAATGAGAATCAACAAGTAGTTGGAATGCCAACAAATTTGCTTAGTATTTACAGAAAAAAAAATGCAACCAAGTTGAAGATATAAACATTTATGACAGATTAAAATTTACCAGTTACTAGTACATCATGTTATACTCGTAACAAATGGATGAACCTCTATATTTAATGACTGAATGTTTTTTTATTGCAACAGTACAGTATACACAGAATACTAAGGTTAATATACTAATTATATTGGTAGTGATTAATTTATGTACTTAGTAGTAGTATAGTATATACAATTACAGTAAATATAATTTGAAACTCAAGAATGCAAAATTGAAGTGATGTTTTTTTTTTTTAATCATGTTTGAACATATCTGAGGAAATGGGGAAAATGCTGACATGTGATGTCCTTTTCATTGTTTAATCTGCACATTGTACATGTACATCCATTTGTACTCTAGACAGACAAACATGTAAATAATTTAAGTACATCTCAAGTCACTGATATACATGTATTTGGTATTTTACTAACAAATAAAAGCAAACATCTATAAATTGAGTTGGACTGTTCAGCTCTATAAAGTGACTGATTATTAATATGTGGCATTCCAATCACATGGTATTCACTGATAACAGTTCTCACAACATGTTACAATCTCCTCCTTTGCATAACAATTTTAACATTTAATCCGTTAACAGCTGTTGAAATCAAACAAAATTTGTGTATTTTTTTTATTTTTTACTGCGTCAAAGTAATTTCAAGCCACTGTTCAAATAAAATAGATCATATCATACATGTATGCCTGAAACACAAAACATTTTTGGTATTTTGGTAGCTGTGTTACCGGTACATGATATACAGTGCCAATGATATGGTGTATCTACTATTTAGACCATAAATTAATAATACCTGATAGTCGAAATAACAAAAACAGGAAAAACTTCATAATCCTTGCCACATGGCTTTACAGAAACTCCTAAAAATCAAGAAAAATTTGGAAAAGCACTCACTAAAACTACCGGTAGTAAGATAAGAACTGAGCATCTGACATGACAAAATGAATAACTTGTTTTAGCAGATTGTTATTGTGAATACAATAACTTTCTAATCATACCAAGTACATGCATACTTGTATAAGTACACCACATTGACTGAATGAATATTAGACTACACTAATGTCTGCACATATTTAGCTATCTGAAGAAATTAATGATAAACTTGTCATAATAGCACAAGATATTGTCAAACTCACTTGTGTAGATACAAGTAAGGCCACCAACATGGTAAACAAATTGTTAAACAAATTTTTATTTGAAAAAAACTTACTAAAACTGTTACTAAGTAAAAAAAATTCAATAAGTGCCAGAATGAAAGAAATATATATATATTACTCCAAATTTGGTGGTGGTGGTGGTGGTGGTGTACAAGATTGTATCACATTGGAGCAAGTGGTTGATTTGAGAGAATTTGTGAATAGTGTAAAAATATTTATGTTTATCTCACACACAAAAATAAAACTGCTGTGAACTTTACTGAGCAAGAGAAAATAACAGAAGCGTCAAAGTTATCATACTATGTTCATTATGGGTCACAAAGACTACGCAGCGGTCGTCATACAACAACATGTTTATGTGGGTCCCATGCAAACTCGTGCTGCATGACGATCGTCATACCACGTGTTCATTATGGGTCCAATGTCAATCCACCATCACTACTGAGAAAAGCAAGGAATCATATTTTGTTTCATGAACCATATAATGGATTTTGTAATCCATGTCAAAGAAAGCTAACTCACTCGCCCATACCCGACTACTCACAAAAATGAAATATTGATTGGTTGCTGCAGTTTATGCAGCTCTCTTGGTCGTGGTATACGTTGCGGGGCGACCAGAGAGCTGCAGTTCCCTTCCCTAAAGAAATGCACAGATTTTTAAATATGCCAGTTATGTATCATTAAAATTGTGATTGTAATAAAATTACCTCGACTTGCAGGAAAAAATAGACAAATATGTTCTCACAAATATATCTGTTACTGATTACAGCAAGCTTTAAGCAAATTTGCCCGTGTAAATGAGACTATTTCACGTTAAAACTGTGCCGAAGTAAAACCTCCGATTGAACGCCGCCATTTTGAAGCTGACCTCTATCACGTGACTTGGCTCTTTTAGTGATGAGTGTAATCACGCGACTACAGCAGACTGCCATCGGTGCCTGTCTGGGACAGCGTTCCATGTGACGAAACAACGGCAGACGGCTTTTTATAATTTTAATTTCATTTCACCATTAAGTGACTCATCTTTTTTTGAAAAAATCAAATAAAGTACATGTATTATTAAAAATATTTTTTTCAAGCAGTTTTATTTATATAGTGTGAAAAATAATCTTTTAACTTGCCAACGGGTGTAACAAGTGACAGGAGCAGACAGCATGGAATTGACAAAGGACAAAACTGTTGAGTCTTTTGACCATATTTTTAAATTTGACCTAAAAGCTCAACAAGTAGAAGGTACTACTTGTATTTTAAATAATATACACACATTGGCCATATTACCAACAGGGTATGGCAAAAGTATGATGTATATTTTACCACCAATGCTCCTCAATATTATGCGGAAAGAGACAACAAGCCAACGGGGTAATGGGTTTCAGCTTTAGAACATTCACTAATGCATTGGTCAACAGTTTCTGAGGTTTTAAGTCTAGATGCAATGGATTGCCTGCGATACCCTTTAACTTTCTTCTGGAACTCATCTCCACAATGAATACAAGAACGTGCCATTCTCAATTTTCAGTTAAAATGTCAACTGTGCATGCTTCGTCATTGTCACATGACAGAGGTCATCTTGAAATCAGTCGTTCAATCGATTAAATTACGTTCGGTCTAATTATACACAGAAATATATACTTTTCAAGAAGAAATAGTCCTTCATTTTCGGTCAGTAGATACCTAAGATGTTTGTGTTTGCAAGGATAACTTTTATTCGTTTTAAATTTCATTGAAATCGTTCGATAACATCAAAAATAGCGTGCGCCACGGGATCTCGGGGCGGCGAACTGTGCGGTTCTCAATGGACGCGATCTGCAGCTCTATGGCCGCAACGTAATATCAAAATAGCTTAAGCGGCCAATAAGAGCTGCTAAACTGCAGCAAATTGATTGGATTTATGTTTACTACACAATGCACGTGCATGTATGATGTAGTTTTAAATAACGACCATATGTTTGTGAACTCGCCCATACTGCACATCAAATAAGTTGTATGTTATTCTACAACCAGTACGGTTGGGTTAAACTATGACCTGAATTGTTTACATTGGTTTCTTACTATCTATGTATGTTATAATGCTGACGAAAACGTATAATCTGCGAAGTTAAAACACCCATAGACATCAGGTACAAACGACAAAAGCAGTGGGTACACACTAACTCCACTATGCTGTAATTATGTTAGTTGGATGGTAATCCGTCCGACACGTATACACAGCTGTGCGCCATAGAACAGCAGAGTGCAATATTTACCTCGTTCGCCATACCGTGGCAGCCATGTTGGAAATTTGTCTAAACTCATAGACGTGTCACATATAAATTAAATCACTGTCCTGCGACAAAAATGGAATAAAGTAAATCGTGAACCAATCAAAAATAAAATCTTACTGTCAAAATATACCTCTCTGTCTTTCAAACCGAGTAAAAGTACTTCTTCCATCAGGGTGAGGCGAGTTTCTTTCGAATCGCCTAGGTCTTCCTCTTCATAATCGTTCTGGTTTTCCGTATCATCGTCGGCTTTGCTTTCGTTGGTCATTGTCGCTGTCTTTTTACGTTTAATAAGGACACCGGAGCCAGAGCCCGGCCTTTGCGATAACGACGTCATATTGATATTTTCCCCGGAGGAGCAACGAAAAAATGGTGTTCAACGGTCGACCCACTAAAAATTAAAATAAACACACAGACAGGTCGATCGGCCCAGTTGGTTATGACGTCATCAACATGGCGCTCATTGATTCGCAAATTTGCGAACAAAGCCGAGGAGTGCCGAGTGCACCGACAATAGTGTTACAATAATTACAATGGTAATCAGGTAATCCAACTTAACGGCGCATATCCATGTTACGCCAATCATTCAGCGCAAAATATTATCAATGTTTGTTCTGAAACTTCATCTTTCGTCATTTCAAAGTTAGGCACTTCCAATATGAGAAAATGACAAACTTTACCTTTTCATTTTTTTTCAATTACTGTAAACTGTTGCACAAATTCACCTTCTCTTCGCCGCAGACTCGCAAATTGCAAAGACATCATTGAATTTATTTCCGTTTCTCTACTTTTTTCATCCGGACATTCACTTTAACGCCATTTTATCGATGTTAGAGATGTCTATAGACGAACACTTTGACGGTTATTTTCAATTTGTCTACACTGCTTTGGGTTTTCTAAACAAAAAATCAGAATAAATCAATCAATCGATTTGCATAATTTGGTAATTGACGGTAACATATAAAACATTTTTGCCTACCATCTGAATATCTCAGCTTCGAATCATTTTATTTGGTCCTTAATCTCGTAAATGTATGGCGCACTTTGTACTTCAACTCAATTTTCGTCAAAAAAAAAACAAAAAAACTAGACTTACCTCGGTTGAAATACAATGTATACTGTTGTGCACATCAACTTCTGCATTATTTAACCGGCCAGTAATAGCATGATAGTCGCGCTGTGCGTACATGCCTGCTAAACTTTCCAATACGATTAGCGATTCCGTGTAGGAACTAAATTTATATAAACTTACTTGAAAATCCAAAATTATAAAAAATATTGATAAAACTATATACAAATATGCCACGCAATGAATCGCAGACCTAATTTGGGAATTATGCGAACCGGGTTTTCCGCATCTTGAATTAAGACTACTAGATGTTCTAAAAAAAAAAAATATGTGATACGCTTGTTCCTAGCTCTGAACAGGTACAGGGCGCCCAGCAAAATACCGTATCAATTTTAAGAGAAACGGAAAAGTGAAAAGACTTAAAATTTGGTGTAGCACTGACGCGACCACGGGACATAAATTGGCCCATATTATGTACAAACTTTTGCACGTTAGTTTACCGAATAGTTTCAACTCATATAAATGGAAAATTATTACTAATTCCAATTGTGGGGCTATGTGGAGTAAGAAATGGCAAGGTTCATAGATTATTGATTGAGTATCTTCTCTTTGGCACAAAATTAAAACTGTTATCGTACACAATCTACTGCATTCTGCCCATACTAACATGGCAACTATAATATGTGGTATGCCAAGCGTGGATAATTGAATAAACAATTCTTTTTCAATTTATAAATCCTGTTGTTGTTTTTTTTGTTTTTTGTTTTTTAAAGAATCACAAAACTTGAATGAAACAAACCGACTGAAAACAGTACTTGCTGAATTGGCTTTGAGAATATAACTGTGTTATATAAATAATAGATGCATCATTATAAGAACATAAGTTTTATGGAGTAATAAATTAATATTTATAATGCAAAATTATTATAAAAAGAATTTCCAATCTGAGCTCAATCTCTGTAGTTTACAGAGTTGTAAATAAAAAAAGTCTTCGCTGAAATGCGACAAGTTATTATTATTATTTCGTCACCCTCATAAGCAACTATATAAAGTAAATATAATAGTGAATTCTTTGCTAAGTGATATATAGATGTACTTAGTGGTAAATCTTTTATATAAAAATTTCATGAACAAAACATATTTAGGAGAATACAATTACAATTCTTGTCTTAATCGGGATGTTTTGTCTTTGAACGTCTTCAAGTTGGCGCACTAAACGAAGGTTCAACTAACATACAACTTGAGGATGCGTTAAAAAATATGAGAGTATGAAAGCATTGGTTACCAAACTAATAAATACATGGCGCATGTTTATGTAATGATGTCATATTCTAAATAATAGCTTGTTTATATTAGAAATATTAAAAACGAGGATTCATTCAATAACCCAACAAACAATGTTTTAAACAGAAAGCATATGAGTACCATTTACACAAATGATACACTGACAACGAATGTCAAAACATCGGAATCTTAACTCAGGGGTTAAAAATTACGAAATACCATATTTATTCATATGTTAACACAGGCTACATATTTAAAATTGATTCATAGAAAATGTACACAATGTAATTCAATTAAAGATTTATTGTAACCAAATTAACCAAATTTACATTGTGTTATTTTTTTTCTCAAAATCAAAAAGTCAGTTCAAAGTATAAACCAACTGAAAACAATTTATCAATATATTCACTACAAGCACTATTATTGACAAAACGAGCTGAGTATATTAAAACAGCAACAACAATTTCTCGAATGATTTTCATTATTAACAATTTAGCTTGATAAACGTTTTGAAATAACATCTTAATTAATATATTTAACCAAACCACGGTTACTAAAAATGTAATCGTGACCAAACTAAAAATGTACTGTTTCTTTACGGTAGTAATAATGACTATAATACCATATATTGTAAAGTCGGGATGTCACATTATTATTCATATTCAATCTGAATGTAACCGATTGTCGGCGCATGTTGCCAACAGGGTCCTTATTTGTTTTCTACGTTGATATATCTCGGAAAAGGAGATACCCTGCCGGTGGAAACAGAGGGTATTTACCGAATAGTTCTTTAATTTCGCCAACCTTTCTTTCATATCTCCAATGCCGAAAAGAATGGCCTTGATTTCAAAGATTTTTAGCAAACAAAGCCTGAGGGATGTCGTTGAAATATTTAATATAGTCTACGATAAGTTGTTGCTTTTAACCTTTCCATGGACATTCGTAGTGTGTCCCACCTTCAGTTAAACTGGAAATACTCCCCCAGCAGTGTCAATATCACAGAATACTGGAATATCATCAACAACTGATCGAGAGGAGATAATGATGTCGTTCGTTGATGATGTCGATATGTTTGTCGCCGATATGTAACTTGGTGTTAACGTTATCACTGTATGTATTATGTGTATCCCATAACGCACTGACTATACTTTGACACCGTGACGGTTAACCTAATTACATGTCATGATCAGCCTTGTAGCGCATGTCATTTCAGCATCTGTGACGGTGTTCACAGCCTGCCCGTGTCCTTTAAATGACACGAATTCACGTAGTGAATATACAATTTGTGGTCAACTGAGACTAGCACAGGCACAACATTAAAATGTGCAACATATACAAATAATAAATTTATAGTTTGTTAACTATTACAATACATTAACATATTTTTCCATGCAGACCGTGACATTGAAACAATAATTTTGTACATAGAAAATGAAGAAAAAAATCTTGTTTTGACAAGAAAATAATATTCCATCATGATATAAATCCAGCCTTGTATGATCAATTTCAGTTATATCATAAAATTTACTGATTAATTTTGCTAATATATAACATTTGACTTTTCATTTGAATAAAGCACAGTGTACTGGACTCACTATTTTTTTTTCAGAATTTCAACATCTGGGTAGACAACTAACAAACAAATTCTGCACTGGCAGCTATGTTGCTTGTTCTAATTCAGATTTATCATCAAATAATTTCGGAATGAAAATTTTATTTGTTTTATGAACTTTAAATTAAAGGCTCCACAAATATTTGAACGAGTTCATGACTAAACTGCTTATAGCTAGTGTGCTAATCGGACGGCTTTGAATTAAACGGACTCAAACTATAACCCAATCTGATTAAAATCTGATGTAGTGTACGGGCTTTAATTATTTTGGCTATAAATTTATTTTAATTTTATTTTTGTATTA